GTGGCATAAGCAAAACACTGAGCTTCCCCTAAGACTTCTCCATAGCTAATGTGGCCACAGTAATTTTCATATGCAATTCACAGTAATTTTCATATTTTCATAATTTTCTTCTTATAAAGGAATTTTACTCCGTTCATCATAACTTAGCTGCTAGCCCTGTACTGTCTTTGTAACAGAGCAAAAAGTATATTGTAGCCTGGTGGTTTACACGAGTTTACAACTGACACAGAATGAAATGGAGCAGTGGATGGAGACAGTAATACAGGAGACTATTTAAACTGCTTCCTGCAGATTAGGCATCATTTGAAGGGGAGTTTCCTCTGTGCCTTTGGTTTTCCCGTTACTGCCTAGGGTTTTGCCTTTCATTAACATGCCTTTCATTAACATGCCCTTGCAACTCATAGGAATCAATGAAGATGAGACATTTCGGCCTATATCAGAAGTGTTTTAGCAATTAACTGGCTGCATACTTGTTAAGGAGGAATCCGAATGTAAGTTGTCCTGCTGCCGCCTCTAGACATGCATAAGTCTGTGGGGCCAGATGGGATCCACCCCAGAAAGATGCTCATTGTTGAAATGAGCCCGGTTGAAATGCTCATTGAGCCACTTCCCATCATTTCCAGAAGTCCTGGCTAACTTGGGAGGCCCAAGGTGACTGGAAGTTAACAACTGCAGCACCTGTCTACAAGAAGGGCCAGGAGGAGGATCCAGGGGACCACAGGCCCGTCAGTCTGACCTCGGTGCCAGGGAAGGCCATGGGGAAGATCATCCTGAGAGCCGTCACACGGCATGGGCGGGACGTGGGCCCAGCCAGCACGAGCTCATGAGAGGCAGGTCCTGCTTGACCAGCCTGATCTGCTTTGACAAGGAGCTTAGTGGACAAGGGAAAGGCCGTGGTTGTCACCTGCCTGGGCTTTAGTAAAGCCTCTGACACCATTTCCACAGCGTTGTCCTGCAGAAAGTAGCAGCCCACAGTTGGCTGGGTGCAGAGTTTGCTGGGTAAAGTTTGTCTGGATGGCCAGGCCCAGAGAGTGGAGCTGAGCAGAGCTACATGCAGCTGGGCATGAGTGATGCCCCCAGGGCCCAGTTTTGGGGTCAGACCTGTTTAATATCTTTTTTAATTATCAGGATGAGGGGATCAAGGGCACCCCTTTGCAGATGACCCCATAGTGTGGCCAGCAGGCCCAGGGCCAGGATCATGCCCCTGTACTCAGCACTGCTGAGGCCATGACTCCTGTGTCCAGTTCTGAGTCTCTCACGATAAGAAGGACATTGAGGTGATGGAGCAAGACCAGAGAAAGGCAACAGAGCTGGAGCACAAGTCTTATGGGGAGTGGCTAAATGAGCTGGGGTTGTTTACCCTGGAGAAAAGGAGTCTCAGGGGCTCAGACCTTATCACTCTTGACAATTCCTGAAAGGAGGGTGTAGCCAGGTGGGGATCAGTCTCTACTTCCAGGGAGCAAGTGACAGGACAAGAGGAAATGGCCTCAGGTTGCAGGCAAGGCTTAGAGTAGATATCAGGAGAAATTTCTTCATGAGAAGGGTTGTCAAGTATTGTATTCAGTTGTTCAGGAAAGTGGTGGAGTCACCATCCCTGGAAATATTTGAGACATGTAGATCTGGCACTCAGGGACACAGTTTAGTGGTGGACTTGGCAGTGCTGGTTTAAAGGTGAAGCTCAATGATCTTAGAGGTCCTTTCCAATATAAATGGTTCTATTCTATTCCATGACCTGTAGCGGATTTGCTCTGGGTGCTGGTAAAGTAGCACCACTGTTCCTGGGATGGCTCTGAGCCTAAACTGATTCTCTCTTTAAAAACATAGAGTTTATAATTCCTGGCACAGTGCTAGGCTAACAAAGAAAATCCAGAGTCGTCCTGCATATGCCACATGCATATCTGTAGCCAAGCACTGCAGAGCTGTGGCACTGCTTCCTGATGCCCCTGCAGTGGCAGTAGAGATGTCCTAAAAGATTTGTTCCAGTGGCTCCAGAAGGGATCTGTCACTGGGGGTTTTTTCTGAATATTGCTCAGTGTCACAGACCTGTCTGCTGCTGAGTCCCCTTGGGGTTTGGGTCAAGCTAAAAGAATTATTAATTGCTACACCTTTTTATCAGGTAAAAGGGATACTAAAAAATAAACAGAACACCCACAGAAAAAGAAAGAAGTTTCAATTACTGCAAGCATATGAAAACCAATTGGTTTCTGCTTGATCCCTATGGGGTTCTGCTACTATTGCTGTCTTCAAGCTGAATTATCTGTCCCCAGGCTGAATTCTACAAAAGGAATTGATGTTTTCAAACTGACTTTTCTCACCTTTTGTAAAAGTAATTGATGTCATCAGATAACTTCTACATAGAAGTTGCTTAATGAAGAAAAGAACTTCCAGCGTTGCGTAAGATTATACTGCCTAAATAAATATGCATTAAGTAGGCGGAGAAGATGTATTAGGTAGGTGTACATTTTACTGAATAAAAGATAAGACTTTCTACCATTTGTATTTGATTTGTGGAAACCCTGCACAGTCTCTTCTAACCAGTCTCTTCTAAACAGTCTCTTCTAAAACTAGGCTCTGTGTCTGCATTTAGAGAGCTCCTAAAATCTGAAACACACCTCACCTCCTGTCCACCCTCACCTATGGAAACCAGGCTCTCAGCAGTACAGGTTACTCAGTGCCTATTGCAAGTTACATTGTTCCTACACCGCCATTATGAACCTTGATTTTACAAAATAAAATGTTTGCAGAAGTCAGTTGTTTCTAGAGGACTGCTTTTTGCAGTTTTCTCTTGCATTCACCACAGAAAAGACTTACTTGACAATTTTTATAGCTTCAATGGCTGTCAGGTGGTGCAAACCACAGAAGGCATGTGCCTGCACTCTGAGAAACTCCCTCTTTCAGGCGGAGATCAGGCACTCTTACTGAAAAAAGGGAACACTTCATTGTTTTCATCCCTAAACACTAGTGTCAGTTCCCTTTTTAAACTCCAGAGTTTTACATCCTGCCCATATTAGGACAGTGACCTAAGGGGTGATTCAATCCCCCTAGGCTGAGCTGCTGTTATGTAAACTGCTTGTAGGCTTTTCCCCTGAGCACCACTTGTGGGGCTTTCAACGTGTGCATCAGCAAGAGCAACTGTGGTGCTCCAGCAGCCTCTTTACCTTGCCCACTGGAAGTGGTACTACATCAATTCCTACCCCAGGTAGAAGTTTGTAGCATTTTCCATGCAATCTCAGTCATGGTACAGCTGCTGAATGGTACTTGTTAGCTGGAGAGAAGTGATGTGGATTTTGTGGACATTTCAATGGACTTCCCTCACAAAACCCTCCCACTTTTGGGGAAGGAGGGAGGCCCTGGGGAAGGAGGATGTGTATTCTTGTCCCTCACAGGATGTGATACTGGTGGAGAAATACCCTTTCAAGGTAAAAAGAGGTAAAGCCAAGTTGTCTCTGCCCTTTGCCAGGGGCTTTGAATCAAAATTGAATCACCATTTGCTCTGCCTTTTATTCAAAATTGAATCACCATTTGCTCTGCCTTTTATCAGGCTGAAGCCATGCCCCAGCATTTCCCCAGAGGCTTGAAAGCAGGAAGGCTTTTTTCCTGCCTTTGATGAATAACTGAGGTGTCAGTGGGAGCTGGGGCTGGGGGGGAGGGTGCTCTCTGAAGTACCATGGCTTGGCTCAGCTGCAGCTGCAGCTGGACTGCAGGCACAGGTACCAGCGACCCTTCCTGCCTAATGAGCCAGGGGCATCCGTGGCCAGGAAGGAACTGGCAAGGATTCAGCACTGGGAAACTCCCGAGGAAAGGGGGCAGGATATAGGCGTGTGAAAGAGGGTCGGGATCATGCCTGATGAGGAAACCAGTGTCAGACAGAGGTCTGGGATGTCCAGGCAGGGCCATGGTAAGGCCTGTTAGTGTAAGGCACAGGCATGTGCTGCTGGTGGACTGGGAACTGCAGCTCTGTCTAGGCAGGGTTCTGGGGGCAGCAACAAGATCCCACCTGGGGTCACCCTCTGCAGCCATTCATCTTGATTCTTTTTAAAAGTGCCAGGAATGCATGCCTGTTTCTCTTCCTGACCTTCCTGCCCTTCCTGCCTCTCCCTTCACTCAGAAATGCCCTGCCAGGCAGCCCTGAGCCTGTTAGCCAAAGCCAACTATAGTCTTAAGGATAGATAGGAGTTTTGAAGAAAATTAAATTCTTCCAGATCTACAAGAAGAGTTTGTCTGGGTGAGTGGCCCAAGGGGTGGAGGAAGAAGGATAATCTTCCTTGTGCACCAGCAAGTCCACAGAGAAGGGACATCTTGTAAAGAAGCCCAACACAAGAAGACCTCCAGTCAGAGATTGCCTGTCACAAAAACTGAAGACAGAGCTCCATAGGAAAAGGCCTCATGAGCTCCAGGGTGAACCTGCAGAATGAGCTATCCAAATGTGCTCTTCAGAGCCCCCAGTGAAGGAAATGGGACTTGAACTGTATCTTACACCCCTACTCCTTCATGACCATGTGCATTATCCCTTTGGGTATCCATCACTTGCCTGCCAGAAGCAGCAAGAGGAGCTTCATAAGGGAGTGGGTACTCAGTTTTGACTGAGTAAACTTGACCCTGGCCCTAAAGTGATAATACGCTGCACCTGTGAAAGACCATGTGTGTCTAGAAAGTTTTGTTTGCTAAGAAGCCTGAACAAAGCCTGCAATAGCTCCTCACCCTTCTACTTGACCATCTGACAATCCCTCTGGCAAGAACAAAGGTGACTACACAGCACCAAGCTTCCATATATCCCGCAAAGAACTGGTTTTTCTAGCCTTGTGACAGACAGACAAGACAGGCAGACAGACACATCGCCGCATGTCATCTTCTCCTTTTTCTGGCACACACTGGGATGGCTGTGTACTTTCCAGTGGTGCAGGGGCTGCTGGCCTCCTGCCTGCCTCAGTCAGCTGCCGGTGAGTCACCCGGGACGCCCGGCAGGACTTTCTGACAACACCCACAAAAAAAAAGCCAGCAGCGACAGCGGGGAAGGGCCTGCATCTTTCCTGCCCCCCACTCACTAACTTTCACTAAGATGAACTTGCTGGCTCTCAATGACAGCCGCTGCCAGCTCCCACCACAGCAAAGGCAAAAAAAAGCAACTGGGTTAACAATTTCCAAGAATAATAGAAGAGTACTTTTCTTTTTCAAGCATCATTTTCATGAATGAATTATTCATACAATTGTGGTAATTCCTGCATTCATAAAAACACCACCAACACACAAACAATCTTGTGACTTCTCTTGACTGCTGCTGGCTTCTCAGCACTGGGATCCACAGGGAGGAAAGAGACACCAAATTTCTGATCTGCAAGAAAAAGTATGATACAGTGGCACTGCTGAGCACAGTGGCTGCCCCACAGGCAACACGGGTGCCCTAGTCACGGTGATGAATTTGCACACAACTAATTTTAGGTTGGAAAGTGAAATACCACAAATAATTGCAATTATTTTTATTATATTGATTTTGTATTCTGAGGAGATTTTGTATTCTGGGGATATTATTTTAATGCTGTGGTACGATATTGATTTTGTATTCTATGGAGACTAAAACTGTCAAAATTGGCCAATGTTACATGCATTGTGTCTCTATCAATGCCAAGGAATCCCACTGGGTATATCTTGCTGGGCAAAGCTGGATTTCTGTTCCCGTCTCTGAGCCTACAATGCATCCCAAAAGGCTCAGCCAATCCTTCCACTTGATTAAACCACCCTGTTTTAGCATTAGAATCTCCTCAGGCAGTGGGCATCCTATCCCCTCTGCCCAGAACCCCTGTCCTCTGAGCTGCCAGGACAAGATGTACACAAGCCCACTGCCTAACCACAGTTAGAGAAATCAGAGGAAGTATCACTGCTGCTGGACTGGAGTGAAATCAGTTGGTAAAAGCTGGGGAGGGGGTTCAAAATGCATTCTGTTTAATCTTTTCAACCCCTCACCCAAAAACTTCCCCCAAAATTTTCCATGACTTCCAAGTATGGGACACCTAGACAGAGGATCCCATGGTATCAGGCTGGAAGGGATGTCAAGTCCCTACTCCAACTTCCTGCTCAAAGCAGACACAGCTTTAAGCTCAGACCAGGTCTCCTGGGACTCAGTGTGACCAGTCTTGAAAAACTCTAGGAACAGAGGCTGCACAACCTCACTGGGTGACCCAGTCCAGTGACTGACTCTCTCTCCTTGGGGAAGTGTATCCTTATACCCAGCCCAAGACTCTTGTTTCAACTTCAGTCCCTAGTTTCTTGTCCTCCCAATGTGTAGTGCTGTGATGGTTCTGGCAATGTTTGCTTTCTGATCCCTTTGTACATGCTGGGGGGTTCCTCTTAGGTTCTTCCAAAGACTTCTCTGCATCAGGCTGGACTAGACCAAATCCCTCAGCCTCTCATCACAGGGCATGTGCTCCATCCAGCCCTTAACATCTTTCTGAACATCCCTCAATTTCCCTGTATTTGAGGGAGAGACTATGAAACTGGACATGGTATTCTAGATGTGCTCTGATGAGCCCTGAGTGGAGGGGGATAATCTCTCCCCTCCATCTACTTCTCTCCCTAACTAATATCTCAAAACACGAGTGTGGGCATGCATGACCTTTAATTCTGGTCTCAGTAACTCTCAGAGAAGTTCCTCCTAGCCCATTGTTATTATTGTGGTCTGGCACCAGAAAAGAGCAGTCAGCACCTTCAAATGCACTCAAAAAGTTTTACATAGGCAGGACCTCTCCTTGGTGTCAAAGACATGCACTACAACACCCATGCCAGCAATGCAAAGAGGAGGCAAAGACTTAGAGCCTGGAAATAAGAACAGTTGATTGTGCTCTCAGTGTTTATAAAAAAGAGGAATGATCTGATTTATCCACACTATTGCCCCCTCACCAGTAACCTATCTACCTCAGAGGTCTGTGTTTATTTTTATAATGTGCCTACAACCTTACAGGATTCAACCCACTCATAATCTGAAGGTTTCATGGTGCTGAGGGGGTGAATCACTACGCACTGCATGTCTTACACGCTACCAGAAACTGCCTGAAACCTGCTCCCTCTCCTTCCCACAGACACCTACCTCACCCACACTGCTGCCACCGAAAGAAAGGGCTGCAGCAGAGGGGACCTTCCCTCCCGCAGCCTCAGCATGATGTGATCATGACCATTACTCACAGGCAGGGAAGGGCTGATGAAACAAAATGAGGTCTGGAGGGTGAAGTCTAAGAAAATTCACACTGTGCCTAAATCCGAGGATGCCAAGCACAGCCTCATGAACAGGAAGCCAAAGGACGTCAGCAGCGTCTCATGCCTGTAAAAACAATATTCATGAGATCACCCACTTACCTCAGCTGAAGCAAGATCAACAAACTCCACTGGAGCTGGAGATCACCTAAATCACACCTAAATCACACCTATGTTTGCCTGGTCAAAAATGGGTTAACCAAAAAAAGAGAAAAATTGCTTTCTTCTTTAGAGCTGACATTTCTATCTGCAGGACTACATGCCCTTAAAATTAAAATGCTTTTAGGCAACAATTAGAAACAGAGCTGAGCAGAAAACAGCTGCCCTTCAGAAGTGCTGGAGCTTTTGTCAAAACAGTTGAAAATGTAGAAAGTCAGTGTAGAGCAAAAATGAGCAAACCAACACACTTGAAAAAAACTTTCATTAAAAATTAGTCATTATGTGTCCAGCTGGAACTGGCTGCTTTTGCAATAGGGCTGATGACCTTTCTTAGTGAAAATTATCTGCTTCCATCTGTCCAGTATTGCCTATCTTACAGTAAAAAGTCATCAGGAGAGTCGGTAGAAAATATCTTCATTTCAGCTATTACAAAATATCAGTTTTGAACTAAATTGGTTGTTGTTAGGAAATGAAAAATAAAAAACAATAGTGGTTTCCCCTGGTTCATATAGCTAAGAGTCACTTTCAGTCAGGTGGCAGTTGATTTGTGTGAAATTGCCACATACTTGGTACACAAGAAATAGATGCATCAAGGGATATTGGTAAATACAGTATAAATTATGCAAGTGGTATTCTTGCGTATTTTTTCTGCTATTACGCAATTACAAGAGTTTGACTAACACAAAATTCTTGCTAAATTAAGCAGAGGCACAGTAATCAATCAATATACAAGTGGACTTATGATACATGCACATGTTTGAAATTTATACTTGAGGAGAGAATTTTGCTGAGTAAGGAGGAAGTAAAGTGACCACCCTTGAAAGAGAAAAGTTATAAGGGAATTGCAGGCAGTGGCTGCTGATTATGACCCACAGCAGCAAAAACTGCAGACCCATCCATGCTGAAACAAGACAAATTCATCTGCTGACATTTTTAGCAGGATGGGAGGGTATGGGAAAGTGAAGACCTGCACCATTAATTTATATCCAGACAGGTAATAAATTGATTTTTAATTTGAGGCTTGTACCACACCCTGGTACCAAAATAACATTGCTGTGCTGTTGACTTCAGTGGACCTGTTCTGATTTTTACAGGATCCAGCTCTTTGCTTAACTATCTGGTTAGTAACAGTGAAGTTAAAAAATAAGTTCATAGGACAGGAGGGGGCACAGGATCTGATCTGAAGTTCTTTGAAGGCTTTTGAAAGAGATATTAAAGAGATATTAACCTCATTTGTGTGTGCTTCTGCAGGAAGTCCTTAAAAACTTTTATGGTGTTACCATGGTAGGAATGTAACTTTCTGGGCTACCCTGTGTCACTCATTGTCTCACTGTGCCCCAAAGCCCACCTGGTGTCAGCAGCCACCAGGATCACCCAGGTGATGTGTGTAGGGCACACACTGAATGCCACTGCCCAGCACAGGTGAAACCACTGAAGTCTGCCAGGAACCACTCGTTCCTCACACAACCAAGAAGAGAAACACACCCAAGACATGGTGAGAGAAGGCTCAGGTATGGGTGAGGGAGAGGTCACCAAATGTGAGCACCAGCCTCCCACCAGCCACAGACTGACTCAGTTGCCCACATATGTGCCAACCCACCTCCATCACTACGGTTTCCAGCTCTGCTGCAGACCTGTGAAATGCCAGAGTGAAGTGGTGCCAGACTTTGCAGCCCTGCTGATTGAAGGGGCCCCTGCCAGGCTGGCACCAGCAGCAGTCACAGCATGTGCCATTCGCAGGGGGTTGAAGACTTGGTGCTGTCACTTGTTCCAAGTGCAGGTCAGGGCACAGAGGCACCTAAGACATCCAACCTGCACTAGTGGATTCTCCTAGCTGGCTTTTCATTATACAGACAGCAAATTCTGAAACTAGATATTTGCACTATGAATACCTAATTTCCCATTTATTATTTCTTTAATAGGAAAAAGGAATAATTTGCTTGTTTTCTGCAAAGTGGAAGTGTTTGTTGCCAGATGATGTTTATACTGCTTGGCTCCAACTGCAGAGTGCACAAGTTAGGGAGCTGCAATGTAAATATCAGGAGACACTTCCAGTCAGTAAAACTAAGGAAGTGCTGGACCAGATTGCTAACAGCAAGTGTGAAAGCCTTATCATTGCAAGTGTATAAGAACAGGTAAAAGATGTATCTGTCACAATGAGCTGAGGTCTTCCAGGCCTGGTCTCAGGGCAGGGGTAGGACAGATCACCTCTGAATGCCCAAACTACTTGTCTGTCATGACCCATAAAACACTGATCTCAGCGTGATACTGCAAAAAGCACTGTAGCATCTGCTGATGCTATAAAGTGTCAAAATGTCAGTTTTAAACACCATGAGAAAGACAGTGTCTGTGCACAGCTGGTCTAACAACAGGCAGAGGTAGAGGATCAGCATTGAGTCAGGAAAAAAATCCTGTTGCCTCCTGAGTAATTCCTTCCACTGCTGCCATCTGTAGTACCTAGGAATTTCCTTAACCATTTCCCACTCCCCAGCAGGGCTCAAAGCACTTTATCTACTGCTGTGTGGCTGTGTGATAACCTGAGGCTGTGGACAGCTAGAGACAGTTGATTTGGCCAGGGTTATTTCTAGGGAAAAAGTTCTGTGCTTCTCTCTTAGGAAATAAAATTCTCCAATGTACCAAAAAGCACTTTCAGTTCCCTAGAGAATGGTAATTTCTCTCAGGTGCCAGCCACACAGATAAAAGGGCTTGCTTCCTTGAGAAGACAAGAAAAGTAAGCAAAGAGGCCACCTCTCCCCTTCTCTGGCAAGGATCACAGCTGCCCCTCTGCACCCACAGCACAGCAGCACACCACAAGCTGCAGCAGGCCAGCTCTGAGTTCTGCCCTCTCACAATTTTCTCCCTTGTGCACTGCTTTCATTCACACAGCAACAGACCTCACAAAGGAGAGCAGCACCATTATCCACACTTGATGGATGAGGAAACTCGGTCAGAGTTTCTACTTCTACCATAGCAGGAGTAAGGATATCTACGCTTCTATGGTTCTACCACAGCAGAAGCAAGGATACAGCCCAGGTCTTGCACACCAAGAGCTGGTGAGTAGGCACACACTCCTTGTGAAGATGTACGGCCATGTCACCACGATTTAACACAGTGCCTTTGATCTGTGAAGGGCCTCAGCTGAGGAAACTGGTCCAAAAGCAAAAATGACAGACTGCACTTCTCACCCTGAAGCATTAGCTCATGAAGCAACACTCTCCTGAGGCTTTGTGCCTGCTTTGAGCAGGCAGACACCTCAGCCACAGGTAGCTCACTCAGAGGTAAAAGCACAGCCACAGGCTGGTTTCTCTGACAGCCCTTGGGCCAGGCACACAGTGACCTTCAGCTCTGGGGTGTGTGTCAGACAGTGCAGTAACAAGGCAACATCTAACACACACCAAGGCCGTTCCCTCTGCAGGCTGTCCCACAAAATCCAGTGGGAACCTACACGAAGATTTTCTGTGGCTGTCTGCAAGAGACAGATAGAGGTCCAGGAAAGAGATCTTGGTACCAACACTGCTTTTCTAGGAAGGCCATTATGGCCATTATGACAGTGGCTCTTTGCCTCAGCAGAACTGCTTCACATCCATAAGGCTCCCTTTTACCTTGAGGAATGGTGAGAGAAGAAAACCTGTTAACAATGGTCTGTCTCTCATTTACCACTCTTTCTGCTTTACCCTCTGATGGTATCTTGCCACTGAACCAGGCTTCAGTAACTGCTGATCTGCTTATCTTTGTGTCATGTGATTGGCATCACAAAAGATAGTATGTATACAGCTCCCAAGTCCAAGGCAGAACAGTCTGGAGATAAAAATTATCTCCTTGATGTATGTGAGAAGGGCATGTAGAAAGCATCCTTGATCTCTGACTGTGCTCTGGGACATTTTCTAATAATGGCAATTGTATGTGCAGGTGTTTCAGTCACTCAAAAACTATCTGACTCCAACTATAATAAATGCCTTAATTTGAGAAACTGTCATGTTCCTCTAAAGGTTCTGCATTACTTTGCCTTTAAATGCTCAATTTTTGCTTTAAAGATCTTTTAATGCTTTTCTTAGAAAATATATTACTCTCAGCCAAAATTAGATTGTTTGGAAACAGTGGAACAACACGCTGGGAGACCTGAAAGCACCCTCACCTTTATACTTCTGTGCTGCACACTGTTCTGTGTGCTGTGCATTTATAGTGGCCAAGAGTGCTCAATTCACCGCTGAAGAAGTTCTCCCAAAACCTGTGTGTAACTGAAATTTGCATAAGAAAGTTTGAACATTTTTAAAGGCTTTTCCTCCCCCCTTGCTAAGTGGAGATCTAGTGACTTCCTGTTAAGGAAACTTTTAGTCTGCTCTGTCTTTGTTAGTCAAGTCTGGCATTCCCCTCCGTAAAAAAAAAAAAAAAAAAAAAAGAGAGAGATAGAGAGAAAAAAACCAGAGAAGCTATTGCTTAGAAGAAAGCAGTCAAGCAACACTAAAATAGCCTGTACCTATATAAATGTTCACTAGCACGGGCACATCCTCCCACATCTGGTACACAAAGTGAGCTGAGATGATTGACCATTCCACCCACCACTTGCACAAGCCTTCCATTTCTAAGAATATAGTGGTTTTTCTTTTCCACAGAGGTTCTTTTTTACCACATGCACATATCTTTGGCACAGTTTTACTACAGACCAGAGAAGCAAGGATGGGCCTTTCAACTGAACAGACAGCAGAAGACAGAAACACAACATACCAATGACTTCAATCTGCCATCTCTTGAAGCAGCTATGCCAGCAAGTGAACCAGATAAATCCCTTTCAGGGTGACACTGATCATGTAGCTAAGGCAAATAAAATGGGTTGGATGTCAACAGGTGTCTCTAAGCAATAGTTAGTCTGTTGTGGCTACTGACAGGTATGAAAAGAATCTATGATGTTAAGAGAGACTGAAGGTCTGCAGCAGCACGACTGTTATTTGAAGAGAAAGACATAAATGCTGGGGGAAAAAAAGGGAGTCAATAGGAAAGGATTAAAGTGGTTTGATCTTCTTTCCTAGATCAGTATGTTGCACTTAACTCTTTTAATTCTCTAAACATGCACCTACTAGGAGAAAAGCACCATTGCTTAAAGCCATGATGAAAACACCTATACAACCTAGCATGGGTAACCATGATGCAGCATCACTGACCTGATTTACTGTGCATTTACCTGATTTCAAGCATGTAAAGCAGCATATAACAGCAGCAGACTCTTCCCCAGTGATAAAAGAGTAGCAGGAGGATTGTGCATGTTCTCCCTCCAGCCATGGCAGCCTTGGCACAGTACTGGCCAAAGGCAACCTCACAAGATAAAACTATCCTGTCACTGCTAGGCAGGGAAATGCTAAAGGCTTGCAGCAGTATTAAACACTTGTGTCTGAAAAACATAGAGATCAGTGTTTCAGCAGCCCAGGAGCAATGCAGGCCAATGTGCACTCAGAAGTCCACTCCCTTGTGGGGCAAACCCCTCAAAAGTGACTGATTACCTCACCTGCCTTTGTCTGGTGATGTCTTTTAGAGTGGTACTTTAACCAATCCGATTCTTCCACACTGCTGCATGAGCGCCCTTCCTTAAGTTTCCTTTGGGTGTCCAGTACCTAAAAAATTAGACACCCCAAAGTAAACAATAGCATTTGAAGATCTGAGTGGCAAAGGTAGCCATTTAAAAAATAATTACTAGTTACCTTATATACAAAAGAATTTTTTCTATATACCTTCCAAAGGAGGCTGTTACTGTTTTTTGTACACCTCATTCAGTTAAAACATAACTACAAGGATGTTCATTGCCAAATTGGCCATTTTTAATTTTCATGGAAGTGAGTGCACCTTATGACCCATAAGTGCTCTGTGGATATAGTTCCTACAGAGAAGAGCTATGTCTCCTCCTCTTTTGAATGGGTTAACAGGATGATGTTTCAATCTACATTTGTTTCAGAGGCTGTGGATGTTGGTAAAGAGACTTCCTATTCAATGACTACACATACAGGTCTATTTCACCTGGGCTAACCCAGTTTCAGGGTGTGTTTGAAATATTCACATTTCAACAGCCTCTCTCACTTGCTACAGTCAGTGTCCAAATTAAGGAAAATAAAACAAAAAACAAGCAGACACAAAAAGAGTCACTTTGCTTCTCAGGTAACCTCAAATTTTTGGCAAGAAACTTTGTAAATTAGGGGGGCACTTTTTACTGGAATCATACAATTTTGGCTTCAGACATAGTTTATTTAAAAAGACCTAACTTCTGTCACCATAATTTTTGTCCTTTTCTCCAGCATAGAACACCTTCCCAGCTATGTAAACACAATCCAATCCTTCACCAATTCCAGTGTTACAAGTCTCCTAGTTGGCCCTGTACCAAATACAGTTATCTGCATTCACTGGTGTCTGGCTGACACTCTTCATCCTGCTCACACTGTTTTGATCTGACACTCAAGAGATCTTGGCTTCATCTTGTATTTGTCTTGATAACAATTAACTGTAATTTAGTTATGAGCAGTTAATTTCTCGCTTGAACTCGTGTAGTTTTTACCTCCAGCCACTGGGGTTGGTTTGACTTTTTCTACCATTAGCACCTTGCCCTGTCTCCTTTAGGCGATGCCTATCAAAGACCAAGCTGATCATCTTTCACCTCAAAGATTTGTGCCTTTTAAATTTCTCAGTAAAAGATGCTTTCTCCAACATGCAAATATGTCTCATCAGTTGAAAACAGAATCTTCTATTTAAAAGCTGAGGAAGAGCTTGTGCATCCAATTTTTCCTCTGTTTTTTCCAGCTATATCAGTTGTTCAGATCAGATATGAACTCTGCCTACACTGACCTGCCCCCTATTTTTTTCACTGTTCTTTAAAAATTAGACTTTAGGGCCTAAGTTCATGTGTTTGCATGCAGTAGGCCAATATAACTAATAGATATGTTCTTCCAGATTATAAACCAAATGTTCAAATGTACCGTGTTAGAAACAGCACCATAAATAACTAAAATCAGCTATTCCTGCTGCTGAATCCTTAAAAAAAATAAAATTATTGCTGGAGAAAGTATGCCAGGAAGATAATCTTCCAGAAGTTTAATCAGATAATCTAGAAGCTCCCTAACAGCATATTTGTGATAAAACCTCATGAATAGGGTCCTTAATAGGGCTGCAGATGAATCTTAGAACTTAATAACTCCTTGAACTGTGTTACTGTTTCTGTGCTCTCTTCCAGGTACCAAGATATCTTTTGGGAGCTCCTGATACTCATTGCTTCCTCAATGCCACCTTAAGGTACCAACCCTTACTAAGAGCACTTGTTGCAAGCAAATCCTGAAATGCCAAAACAACAAATGCAGCAGAGAATCAGCTGTCTAAAGGAGATACATGAGACTGGAGAGAAGGAGCTTTTAGTGAAGAAAAATCACAGGTCAAGGCCTACAGTATTTTCTGCTCACAGAATAACTAATATTAAACATTTTTCAGTAGTTGATGGAAACTATTTCAGCTGTAGGTAGAGCTGCAGCACAAGACCAGGTAAGGAACAGCACCATCCCTTCATTTGCCTTTTATTCATTACTTCCACAGTGAAACTAAAGAAAGCTTGGCCTTAGTTTTAAGCTGCATTTTTAAACATTTCAAAAGGTTTTTAAAAAAGGGTAGAAAAGACATTGCCCTTCCTGCTATGAATGCAGGGTACATAAAAGAGAAAACTGAAGTCTGAGACTAAGAGAAGCCACTAGTGAAGACAAGCAACAAGAAAATGGTGTATATTTAGCATTAAGATGTTACTAAATGTTAATAAATGTTCTGTGTGCTGTCAGATTCATTTCTCTGAATCTACAGATTGTAATGACATTTGGAATAAATTATGGTCGAGAAGAAAATAAGGGTGTGGATTCTTTTTTGCTCAGAAATTAAATGTTTCTGTACCCAAAATAGTTACTGCTGCAAGGACTTATACTAGGGGCTTTTATTTTTTCTCCACTGACTTTTTTTGAGAATTAGTGACCTACATTGTAGAGGGTTTCTTTTTCTTCCCCTGCTCGCAAGTGGCCCCACAGATTCCTGTGACTCACAGAAATTTTTAAAAAACAAACCACCAAATGTGTGACTTTAAAACTATCAGGGACAGTTTCATGATCAGTTATCAGAGGGGATTCCACACACTCTCAGTGCAATTGAAAGGAGCACCCCTTTCCTCATTAACATTCAGGTAAATGTCAGTTCTAGGAAAGCGCCTTTAGTTCCAAAGCCAGACTCCTCATCCATGTCCCTGGATTTCAGCTGTTGATACCAAAAGCTCTTTTGATTCCATCAAATCATAACCATCCATCTTCTTGCAAAATTAAGGTTCATTTAGACTTCCTTCTATATCAGATCTGGATTTTTCTTCTGCTGTGCTCAGTATTCCTAAATAATTACTTCTGCCAGACTTAACCTGTTTAATTATGCAGTATTTCTAACTTAATATGACTGGAACAATAATTCATGCCTTGTTTCATCTTCAGGGAAGAGAGCAAGATCCAGGGAACCAGGGTTTGTTTCCAACTCTTCAGTGCACATTTCAAATATTGATAGAATAGATATATAAAATGGTCAAGATACTTGCTTGCTTTTCTAGGAACGTACTACTGCGAACACAAACATATTAATTAAGATCATGGAATTAATACCAAAATTATTCACTCATACAGCCTAGTACTCTATGATGAGGAAAGCATCACTCATCATACATTACAGGCAGAGAGAAATGTCTACTTCACCAAACATTTTGCCAGCACATTTATACTGCACACAAAAATGTTTATTGGGCACTTAGCAACCAAACACTCAGGATAGACAATTGTAAAATTTAAGTTACCTTAGGAAAGAGCTCTTTCATGATTTCACAATGACTTTTCCCACCCTACTGCCATCTCTTTGCACGCACAGGCTGCAAAGCTAGTTATCTGGTGAGCAGCTTTTTGGGCTTTCATGTCCTGCCCTTTGCTCAATGCTTAGCCTCACACTTTACCTGTTCATCAAACATGGCCCTTAAAATAAAATTACTCAGGGACTCTTGCTCTTGCCTCATCACCAAAGCATCTGAGTACCTTTGAATGTGAGCTAATCTTTGTTGGTAAGCCCTGCAGCATGAGGGGGTGGTACAATCCCCATTTTACACATAAGGAACTGAAGCCCAAAGTAATTAAGGTCAAAAGTTTCCATTACTTTTTTGTACTCCTTGGGACTTCATTTCTCAGTTTGTTTAATACTCGACTTTCTGTCTCCAAAGCCCAGTGTGTATTACCTCAGCTTCTGCTGTGAGAACTCAGCACTGCTTCACGTCAGACATGAAATCTCCACCCACACATGCGTAATACAAGGAGCACCCAACCAGTCATCACCTCTGACAAGGTAAGTTTCAAAAAATTTTCCAGCACCACACAGAAATTTTGCGGCAAAGAGAAGGATAAGCACAGTTTCCCAGGGCAGCATGTGACTGCCTTCACCACATGCTGTGCTTGCTCTTGGTGCCATCTCCCTTCAGCCTGCAGCTTCAGGACAAGACAGCAAGCAAGGTGGAGGTCCTGGTAATGTGGGGGATGTCCTTTTCTCTCTACCTCATATCCATGATTCCTCAGGACAAATGTATTAGGTGAAGGAAACAGGCATTCTTCTGGATCACACTTAGTGACTTTAGTGCTCTTTAGTCTCAGGGAGAGCAGTAGAAGTGTGGGACAAAGGTGTTGGGCACATTCTATCTCTGATGTAGAAATGGCACAGTTCCAAACTCAATGAGTTGAAGCACCAAACCATGCTGAAGCACAGACTGTGCAGTGAGGCACACGATGTCTATGCCACTGCTTCACATTTTCCCCTCTTCATTCCTCACTCCTCCTTGTTCAGGTTCCACTTTCTTCTTCCTATCCCTCTAATTTTGTTGTCTTCAGCTTTCAGTCTCAATTCCTCAAGCTTTGCCACCAAGCTCTTGTTTCCTTGCTTTACCAAGTTCCAGTCTTCTTCTAAACCTTTTGACTGTCTTCATCACTTCAAAATTTGTAATTTTGGACATTTTGTTGATAGTCTTCACCTTCCCATTTTCTGTTTTCTGACTACCCATCATAGCCTTTCCCTATGGTTCCTCCTATCCCCATTCCACTCAGTTCTTCCTTTACTTGACCTTTTTTTCTGCAGTTCTTTCCTTTTGTGATCCCATATTTTAGGTCCAAGGAAGACCTGGAGTTTTTTCCATCACTTATTTTCCCAATCCCAGTTTGTTTCTACTCTGATGATGAATGAACTGGCTGACTGAATTGCTTCCCTTATGCAGCTTCTCAGGTCCCAGTTTCCCATCTCCCACAGAATCTGTTCTGCATCCACAGTCTCCCCAGCTTTGAAGCGGGGTGTTCTCCAACTTCAGCTGCCAGAAATCATCACCAAGCCTCAGCTGCTACTCAGGTAACACCAGGCTCTTCCCAAGCCACTGATATTCCCCTCTTCTACAATGCCTGCCAGCAAGACAAAAGGCACTAAAACTATGAGATAGGGACAAATTCCATTTTTTCATTTACAAAGTCATTACATAATTTTTGCCTCCCACCTTGATTTGGACCAGTGGGGAGCTGGAATTATAGGATGTCCAGCT